AGAGAGAGAGAGAGAGAGAGAGAATTTTTTAATATTTATTTATTTTTTAGTTTTCAGCAGACACAAGGACACAACATCTTTGTTTGTATGTGGTGCTGAGGATCAAACCCAGGCCGCACGCATGCCAGGCGACGTGGTACCACTTGAGCCACATCCCCAGCCCCAGAAATTGTATTTAGAGACCACAGTCTGGACACAAGAAACACTCATACTATTCAGTTAGCTATTATTTTTAAGGCTTTCAGTGTGCAGAGCTAGAATTTTTTTTTTTTTTAAAGGATAAAGTTTAGCATGAACCTGGGTACAGTGGCTTGTGCCTGCTTCCTCTATTGGGGAAGCTGAGGCAAGAACATTGCTTAAGCTCAGGAGTTCAAGGCCTGCCTCAGCAATTTAGCAAGATCCTGTCTCCAAATAAAAAATAAAAAGGGTTGGAATGTAGCTCAGTGGTAAAGCTCCTCTGGGTTTATTCCCCAGTAAGACACCCACACACACAACCAGCCTGGGGTTACAGGTGTGTGCCACCATGCTCAGCCATGGTACCATTTCTAATTCAACAATGTCAGAGGTTTTCCTTTTTTTTCTTTTTGTAATAAACTTATATAACTCAATTTATAATGCTACCACTGCGCTACAACTCTAGCCCCAAAACTTTTAAAATTTTGAGATAGGGGCTCACTACGTTGCCCAGGCTGTCCTCAAACTTGTAATCTTCTTGCCTTAGCCTTCCAAGAGTTGTCTGGAACCCAAGAGTGCTCTACCACTACTGCACTACATATTCTGTTCTTTTTTTTTTTTTTTTTCTTTGAGACAGGGTCTTGCTAAATTGTCAAGGTTGATCTTAAATTTGTGATCCTCCCCAATGTCTCCCAAGTAGCTGGGATTATAGGTGTGTGCCACCATGCTCAGCTGTGATACCATTTCTAATTCAAGAATGTCAGAGTTTTTCCTTTGTTTTTTTGTAATAAACTTATTGAAATATAACTCATTTATAATACTATTTACTCAAAGTTTACAAGGCAGGGCTAGGGATGTAGCTTAGTGATAGCTCTCTAACTAGCCTACCATGTACAAAGCCCTGGGTTTAATCCCAATATAGAGAGGGAAAAAACATTCATTGGGATTTAACTGCATCCATTTATTTACATATTGCCCAGGGCTGTTTTTATGCTACACCACCTTAATTGAATAGTTAAGACAAGAGACACTGAGGTTGTAGCTCGGTGGTTGGGTGTTTGCCTGGAATGCACTGAGTTCAATCATCAGCACCACATAAAAGAAATAAATAAAAATATTGTGTCGGGGCTGGGGATGTGGCTCAAGCGGTAGTGCGCTCACCTTGCATGCGTGTGGCCCAGGTTCGATCCTCAGCACCACATACCAACAAGGAAGTTGTGTCCGCCGAGAACTAAAAAATAAAAATTCTCTCTCTCTCTCTCCCTCTCTCCTCTCAAAAGAAAATATTGTGTCCATCTACAAAAAAAAAAAAAAAAGACAATGAGGCGGCAAACTGCAAACCTGAAATATTTACTATTTGATTCCTTAAAAGCACTCTGGCAGGGCTAGGGTGTGGCTCAGTGGTAAAGTGCTTGCCTTGCATGTGTGAGGCACTGGGTTCGTTCCTCAGCACCACATGTAAATAAATAAAATAAAGGTTCATTGACAACTAACAAAATATTTTTTAAAAAAATAAAAGAAAAGCACTCTGGCCAAGTGGCACATGCCTATAATTCCGGAGACTCCGGAGGCTAAGGCAGGAGGATAGCAAGTTTGAGACCAGCCTCTGTTTGAAAATAAATAAAAAGGGTTGGGGATATAGCTCAGGGATATAGTGGCCCTGGGTTCAGTCACCAAAAAACAAAACAAACACCTTCTAACTCAGAATGTGATGTTATGTCTCATTTGTGTTTTTATAGCCAAATAGTATACCCACTGGGTGGATGTACCAGGGTTATTCAGCCACTCCCCTATTTGTGGACATTTGGGTTGTTTTTGTTCTTCTGCTATTACGAATATTAATACACATTCAAACTAAGGTTTTTATCAAAAACTCTCTGAAGATAATTGTGAGTTTTTCTCCCTCTTTCTTGCCCATCTTGAAGCATCTTGAGTGCAATAAAAGACTACTCTCAGTAGTGCTCTTGACCCTTTCTGCCCACTCACTATAACAACCTTCTAGCCTTTTTTTGTTCTATGGGTACCTAATATTTGGTGCCTAAATGATTTTACACTATAGCTCAGGTTATCACAGTCTAGTCCAGAGAGGATAAAGTTGTCTAAGTCCTCTTCTAGGTTTCAGTTTCTTCTCAAAGATGAAAGATAATTCATTTTCATCTTCAGAGTATCTGGGTAAATGTTTCTTCTTCTTTCTAGCTGAACTCCTTGCCAAAAAACAGCCATTAAAAACCAGTGAGGTTTACTCTGATGATGAGGAGGAGGAAGAGGATGACAAGTCCAGTGAAAAGTCAGATCGATCATCCCGAACATCGTCATCTGATGAAGAAGAGGAGTAAGCTATTCACATTTTGGTTTAGTAGACAGGATGGTTGGGTTCTTTGAGAAAAAGCTTTGTGTAGTTTTCAAAATCTTGTTTGGGCTGTGACTTGTTTGGTTTAGTACCCTGAATTGATGAACTGAGATTCCCTAGCATGTTAGCCCATTACTTTCTTCTGCCTCTGGCTCCTGGGCTGCACTACTAAACATTCCCCCTGGACCTAGCAGATGGGAACTAACTTCGTGTCACCCTCAGATTGGCCTAAATCATTAGCTTCCTTCCTTCCTTCCTTCCTTCCTTCCTTCCTTCCTTCCTTCCTTCCTTCCTTCCTTCTTTCCATCCTTTGCTTAACCACTGAGTCATTTTATAGTCCTTTTTATATTTTACGTTGAGACAGATCCTCACTAAGTTGCTGAGGCTAGCTCTGAACTTGAATCCTCCTGCATGCCTGGCTCATCAATTTTCTTTTCTGAAGTGGTATCTCATTCAAAACATTTTACTGGTCAGGCACAGTGGCACATGCCTATAATCCCAGCAACTTAGGAGGCTGAGGCAAGAGGATTACAAGTTCAAAGCTAGCCTCAGCAACTTAGTGAGGCCCTAGGTAACTTAGTGAGACCCTGTTTCAAAATAAAAAATTAAAAAAGGGCTGTGGCTCAGTGGTTAAGCAACCCTTAACCACTTTGGTACCCCCCCCCCAAAAAAAAAAAGTAAGTTCACATTACTGGTTAGGAACAGAATTAACTGGTTTTTCTTTTTCTTTTTTTTTTTTTTTTTTTTTAAGAGAGAGAATTTTTTTAATATTTATTTTTTAGTTTTCGGCGGACACAACATCTTTGTTTGTATGTGGTGCTGAGGATCCAACTCGGGCCGCACGCATGCCAGGCTAGTGTGATACTGCTTGAGCCACATCCCCAGCCCAGATTAACTATTTTCTGATGTTTTATTTGTTTCTCCTACTAGGTTAATCTTTGTATTTTAAGTTTTAAGAATTTGGTGTTTATTTATGTATCTTATTTTGTTTTTATGCTGAATATTTTTCCCACTGCCACTTTGTTTCCTACAGGAAGGAAGAGATCCCTCCAAAATCACAACCAGTTTCCCTACCCGAAGAATTGAATAGAGTTCGATTATCGCGGCATAAGCTAGAACGTTGGTGTCATATGCCCTTCTTTGCTAAAACTGTCACAGGATGTTTTGTACGAATTGGCATTGGAAACCATAACAGCAAACCAGTTTACCGGGTTGGTATTTCTTTCCTTGGACAGTTGTCCTTGGTATTTATTTATATGTTTGTTTGTTCATTCTTGACTCACCATGTCAGTGGCCTTAAACTTGCAATCCTTCCACCTCATCCTATTGAGTGCCTGTGATCTCAGGTGTGTACCACCATCCCAGATTTCCAAATTTTAAACATAATAATACCCTCCTGGAGGTAGGAGATACTGAGCAAATCTATTTGCCAACATTTGGCTGTGTATTTAGTCAGCTTTTCTTACAGTAACAAATACCTGAGATGATCAAATGAAAATTTTATTTTGGCTCACGTTTTACGAGTATCATAAACATGATCGGGTAGTCAGTCCCATTGCTTTTGGGTCTCTTCTGAGGGAGCAACACATTATAGCGGTGCACATAAGGAGAGAAAAACCACTCATCTCATGGCCCATATGTGAAAGACAGAAAGACAAAGACCAAGATCCTATAATGTCCTTTGAGAACATGCCCCAGAAACCTAAAATCTCCAAGGAGGCCTCCCCTCTTAAAATTTTCATCACCCATCAGTAGTGCCAAGCTGGGCACTAAGCCTTTAACGTGGGCCGTGAGAGACACCTAAGATCCAAACTGTAGCAGAATAGAAAGTAGATTCCATGAGATGCCCATAAAAGAGTGAAAATCTATAGTGACTAGAGATGTGATTCGCAAACCTGCTGCCAGGAAAAGTAATTGAAGCCCAAGAAACTCATGGTTTTGGATTTAGAACAATTTTCTCTATGCTCCTTCAGTACAAAAAGAAAAAGGGAAACAGCTATGAAGTAGTTTTTGGAAATTACATAATCTGTAAGATCTATTTATTCAAATAATAAATTACTAAAAAAAACTTCTAGGACCAGGGATGTTAAAGAGAATATAAAATAACTCCAAACTTGTACAGGCTATTTGTATGTTCCAACACAGCCTCTATCATCTGAATGGCTAGAAAAACATAGCTATTTGATTTTTCTCTTGTTGGTTTTTGTTTTATTCTAGATTGTCTTGTTTTAATGTGTTTATCTTCTAGAATGGGAGCCAGTAGCCATGCCATGTTCCAGAAAGCTGTACAACAGAAACTGACCTCCATGGTCTTCTTCACATTTGGTTGATAAAGATTGATCTCTAAGCTGGGCCTAGTGATGTATGCCAGTAATCCCAGTGACTCAGGAGGCTGTAGTAAGGAGGATCGCAAGTTTGAGGCCAGCCTCAGCAACTTAGAGTGACCCTTCCTAAAAAGAAAAGTTAAAAAGGTGCTGGGTGTAGTAGGTTCATGCCTGTAATCCCAGCAGCTCTGAAGGTTGAGGCAGAAGAATTGCTAGTTTGAAACCAGCCTTGAAATTAGCCTCGGCAACTTAGTGAGGCTCTAAGAAACTCAATGAGAGCCTGTCTCTAAATAAAATATAAAAAAGGGCTAGGGATGTGGCTTAGGGGTTGCATGCCACTGGGTTCAATCCCCAGCACCCCCCCAAAAAAAAAATTAAAAAGGATAGGGGATATACTAAGTAGTAAAGTATTCCTGAGTTCCACCCCAGTACAAAAAAAAAAAAGCAAGAAATTACCTCCAAGCCAGGTATAGGTGATGTATACCTGACCTGTAATGCCAGCTGTTTGAGAGTCTGAGGCAGGAGGATCATAAGTTCAAGGCCAATCTGGACAACTTAGTGACACTTTGTCTCAAAAAATAAAAAGGGCTTGGAATATAAGTCAATGGTAGAGCACTTGCCTAGCATGTCCAAGGCATTGTTTTAATACCTAATATCCAAACATTTGACCTGTACGTTGGGCTGGAATATAGGTCTTGTTGTCAATTCCTAGCACTACCAAAAAAAAATTTTTTTGACCTCTAGAACTGGTAATGTGATACCTGTAGTCCCAGATATCTGGGAGGCTGAAGCAGAATCTTTTAAGCCCTGGAGTTCAAGACCAGCCTAAGCAACTGTGAGACCCTCTCTCCAAAGGAGACTAAATTTATTATTTGTTTGTAGTTATTTTTAAATTTTTTCTTAGTTGTTGATGGGCCTTTATTTTATTTATTTTATTTTATATGTGGTGCTGAGAATCGAACCCAGTGCCTCACACATGCTAGGCAAGTGCTCCACCATTAAGCCACAACCCCAGCCCCTTATTATTATTTTTCAACTTCTGAAATCCCAAGTACACCCCTTTGTAAAGGTAGATTTAGTTTAGGAAAGCTAATGAGCCTCACCAGGCCAATTGTCTCTGCTCACGGAGCTTGCTTACCCTGGGCACAAGGGTCCCTGTGCTTTGCCATCTGAATTCCAAATCTGAGATAGAAACACGGAATACCTGACAGTTGTAGGCTACTCTCAGCACAGGGTTGCTTGTCTGTGTTCGGGTAGATAGAGTCAAAGGAAGAGTTATATAGAGAGCTCTGAAGAGTCTTCTTTTTGACTGGTGTCTCTATCCTTTCACTTAGGTTGCTGAGATCACAGGTGTTGTGGAAACTGCCAAAGTTTACCAGCTGGGTGGTACCAGAACAAACAAAGGGCTACAACTACGGTAAGAGGCACTGCTGTGGCAGCTTTGGTTCCCTCTTTAAACAGGCACTGCCTGTTGAGCTGTCATTGCCTCCAGTGTAATGTTTCCTGTTACTATAAATGCTTTTTATGTGGTCCCACAAGGTACCCTAAAGGAACTCATTCTATCTTTACCTATAGGGAAAGTCTCCAGATATTATTTTCTCCCAGACACTGTGACAGCATAAAATCAAAAACAGTGGGTGAGCACTTGCCTAACATGCACAAAGCCCAGGGTCCAATCCCCAGTACAACAACAACAACAACAAAAAAAAAGGCTGGGGAGACAGGAATATGAAGTACTAGGACATACAGAAGAATGATTTTGAGTCATAAGAGAAAATGCCCAGCGAACACGGTCAAGAGGCTTGTTTCTGGTCCTGGCTCTCTCACTTAACTAGAATTTAGTTATCTTTCAGGATTTTGTTTCCTCTTCAGTAAACTGAACATGTCATTCACTCAACATTTGTGCTAGGTACAGTTCTGATCATCAGGTTAAAGGAAAGAACAAGATAGACATACACAAATCCCTGCCTCTTAGAACTAATATTTTTTTGTTTGTTTTGTTTTGGTACCAGGGATTGAACCCAGGGGTGCTTAACCACCAAGCCATACCCGTTTTTATATTTTATTAGAGACAGTGTCTTGCTGATTTGCTCAGGGCCTCATTAAGTTGCTGAGGCTGGGTTTGAACTTGCAATCCTCCTGTCTCAGCCTCCCAAGTTGCTGGGATTACAGGCATGCTCCACTTCGCCCAGTGGACCCTAAGAATTCTAAAGACCCCATAGAAAGGAATAGAAGTAGTTTGCCAGGATCACACAGCAAAGAGCTGTACTGGACGTGGCTGCCCCTGGGCCTATTGGTCACCATGATCTCTCCGTTTCCCTCCCACATCCTCACTCCATTGTCTCCCCTAATTTGTTTTAAAAGAGCCATTTGGACTAGGAAGTGGCCATAACAAACAGAATCAAATTCTAGATGATTTCAAAGGGGAGCCAGGATTGAGAAATGCAGAGATAGAAGATACACAGAGGTAGTAGGATTGCTTTGCTTATCCTAGAGTCAACACACACTTTCTTGGAAATGCCGTCTCTCTTTTATGTAGGCATGGTAATGACCAACGAGTGTTCCGCCTAGAGTTTGTCTCAAACCAAGAATTTACTGAAAGTGAATTCATGAAGTGGAAAGAAGCGGTAAGTGTCTAGAGCTTCCCTAGCAGTTGTTTGCAAACACTGAAAAGTCTCTTTCCCGAATCCTTTACTAATAACCTTTCTCATATTTTGGTCCAGATGTTCTCTGCTGGCATGCAGTTGCCTACTCTAGATGAAATCAATAAAAAGGAATTATCTATTAAAGAAGCTCTTAATTATAAATTCAACGATCAGGACATTGAAGAGGTAAGAAACCTTGGTACCCCAGAGCCTGGAGGTTTATCAAGTTCATCAGGGTTTAGAGATCATAATTTTATTTTCTCCCTATATCTTGATATTTTTAGGTATGCATTAAGATGAGGGAATACTAATACTGCTACCTTATTATTCATAGTTCATCAAGTTTTTCTCTGTATATTCTCATCTGCAGATTAGATTACGTAGATTCAGGATATTCAGGAATCAGGGAAATATATTCTGCTAGGTTTGGTCCTTCTGGAAGTTTCTTTCTCCAAAACATTTTGGCAGAATTCTTTGATTTCTGTTCTCTTGGACAGTGGCTAGCCTTACAATACTAGGCCCTTGGGCTGCTGCTGTTCATTGGTGCATATTCCTTCAGACTGTCCCAGAAGAATCTCCGTGACCCTGGAAGCAGCATAGTATCCCTTGGAATGAACTCATTCTCTCTTGGGGGCATGACGCCGCTACAGGAAGAGCAGTCCCCTTTTAACTAGTTGCTTGCCTCCAAAATGGGCTCACTTAGCCTGTCTACAAAAATAGTTTAGGAATACCTCACTGCTGGTATCTCCTCTCTGGTACAGATTGTTAAAGAGAAAGAAAGGTTCAGAAAAGCTCCACCCAACTATGCTATGAAGAAGACTCAGCTGCTAAAGGAAAAGGTAAGGACATGTATTCAAGCCTCTTTGCCCATCCTGTAAGGAGATATGGAAATCAAACTACTAGTATATCTTCTGCTAAGTTAATGATAGCAGAATTGGGACAAAACTCTGGGCTCAGTTATAAGCAACACAGTGTATTCTTGATGTCTTTGTGAAATTCCTCGGCCATTTTCCTGTCTATAAATTGAAATTGTTCCATTCTTATTACTTTCTGGTCCTTTTACTTTCATGTGTAGTAAAATAGACCCCCCCCACACACCAAAGGTAGGTGTGGTTTTGCATACTTGTAATCCTAGTGACTCAGGAGGCTGAGACTGGAGGATTATAAATTCAGGTCAGTCTCAGCAACCTAGTGAGACCTCCATCTCAAAATTTTAAAAAGGGGGATGTAGTAAAGCACATCTGAGTTCATTCCACAATAGAATAGCAAGAACAAAACAAAACAAAAAAAGACCTGTTTAGACCTACTATTCCTCACTGGATCTAAACAGACAACTGATATTATCAAGCCCGATTATAGTAGGTAGTTTTCCATTCTTCAAATCCTGATGGGGTGAGCCTTGTTATGATAGTTTAGCCATGTGGACCTGGGTTTTACATATTGCTGCCACTAGGGGTTCATAGCCATATGGCAGTGTACTTTAAGAAAAATTACACATTTTGTGTCTGTAAAGTATTTCTTCACTATTCTTTCACATCTCTTGTCATTTGTTCATCATAAATTAATAAACTGCATATATTATTAGGCTGTATATCAAGAATCCCCTTCCAGCAATCATAGCCAAGAGCTTACATGCTTCTCTGTGTACAGGCCATGGCTGAAGACCTGGGAGATCAGGACAAGGCGAAACAAATCCAAGACCAACTGAATGAGTTGGAGGAGCGAGCCGAGGCCCTGGACCGCCAGCGGACCAAGAACATATCTGCTATCAGGTGTGTTAACTGAGCCTATTTTGGTTGGGCCCCTATCCATGGTCTGAAGACCTTGGCCAAAATTATTGGGCAAGCCTGTGGCCTTGTACACACTGTGCTACACTGACTCTCCAGATCTCTGGGGTCAGGGCTCCGAGACTACTCCCTCTTATGGTCCACTGACTCATCTCTTACTCATCCCATAGTTATATCAACCAGCGGAACAGGGAGTGGAACATCGTGGAGTCTGAGAAGGCCCTTGTGGTGAGTAAGACAACTTTATCTGAATCACTGAAAAAATTTAAATAGAATGATATGAAATCTTCCTACATGTTGCTCAAGTCTATCTTTTAAATCATTGAAATAACACATATATTTAGCATATACTCATTCTCTGTGTGTACATTCACCCTTGTAATTTATTAATTTATAATGAAAAACAGCAGTCTTCTACCCTGCTTTACCCCTTTCTGCCCTTAGACTACTCCACAGACGTTCATTCTTACCAGTTTCTGATTTTTGGTTGTTGCCCTGATAGCTGCTCTGGTGTTCTTAAAGGGAAAGGATAATAACTTCCAGGTTGTTATTCCCCTCCCCCACCCCCTGCACCCCTTGCAAAGAGATTATTTATAAGCAAGTTTATGATGAATGAGAGGATGGGGGAAGGAGGTATGGTTCTCCAATACATGTTCTCTGTTTTAGGCTGAAAGTCACAACATGAAAAACCAACAGATGGATCCCTTTACCAGGCGGCAATGCAAACCTACCATCGTCTCTAATGTGAGTGCCTAAAGAGGACATTTTTAGTCAGGACCTAGATTCTAGGACATAAAATGAATTCCATTAGGAAATTAATAAAGAAGTTAAAAATAATGTTTTCCTAGCTGGGATTTGCTTGCCTGCTTCAAGTTCTTGAGTACAGAAACTTCCTTTTTTATCTTGCTATAGGTCATACAGGTAGGGAAAAACCTGACATGGATTCATAAAGACCCTGTGACTAACCCCTGTGTACCAGGGTGGGTTTATAGTGCAGTGCAGTCCCTAAAGTAACTTATTCAAAGTGCTTGGGACCAAAAGTATTTCAAAGTTTGGATTGGTGAGGGAGGTATATTTGAATATTTGCATAACTTGGGGATATGACCCAAGTCTACATGTGAAATTCATTTATATTTCTTATGTCCTACACATCACCAGAAGGTAATTTTGTATCATATTTTTAGTGTGCCTATGTTTTGACTACAACCTGTCACATGAGGTCAAGTGTGGAATTTTCCACTTGGTGCACAAAAAGTTTTGGATATTTGAGCACTTTGGATTTCAAGTTTTCATATTGATAATGTGTTACTCAGATGTGGGTGTGGATTAGTTTTTGTTTGGTTTTTCAGTCCTGGAGATTGAACCCAGAGCCTTCATATGCTAGGCAAGCACTCTGCCACTGTGCTGTATCTCCATAGGTGTAGTTTTAAAAGCTTTTAATTTCCCTTCTTTTGCTGCCTTGAGGAAAACTCCACTGAGCTACTGATGAGTCTGCTGTGGTGCTTATGATATTATTGGTAGCAGGTAGAAAGAATCTGGCAATAAGACTCTGAATGTTGAAGTCTCTAAAAATAACTTTTTTTTTTTTCTCAGTCCAGAGACCCGGCTGTTCAAGCTGCCATTTTGGCCCAGCTAAATGCAAAGTATGGTTCTGGAGTGTTACCAGATGCTCCAAAGGAAATGAGCAAGGCAAGTGCAGTACTACCCTGTGGCTGCAGAGCTAGGCTGCTGGCTGGAACCCTGAGTGAGCACCTTACCTGGTTTGGGCTTGATTTTTCCCACAGGAGAATATGGAATCCCACTTATAGTGTTTTCTCTATTGTAGTTTTTTATAATCAGCAAAACTTAATTTTGATCAAACAATCTAAACTCAACACTATTACTTAACTAGAGTTGAAGCCACTGTGTCTTTGGCCACTGATTTGTAGATCTCTGCGGCACGTTTAGGGAGTATTTTATATACCCTACCTACTTTGGAGGATAATTAGGAGAAGCAGTTGACATGTTGTAAGGATCAGATGGTTATATAAGTGAAAGCAAAAATGGGAAACTGAGAGAAACCTCCCATTTACAAAAAATTTTCTACCCAATTTTGAGTCTTGGGTAGACTGTCCTAGGAATTCCTGAAATCTAGGGTGAGAAGATGGCCTATTGTCTTAAGCCCACCCTTCCTTCTCACATACCACAGATATGAGTCTTCCTTTTTGCTTTGAAGCTTACAAATATCTGTACAATTGAGTGACAAGTCAGGACTTCAGAAATAAAATAAAGGCAATATTTTTGAAGGGAAGTTGCAGGCGATACTTTCCCTGCACCTGTCAAAAACAAGACAGACAAGCAGACCTATATACATAAGCTAGGTGTATGGACATTGTAAGCTTCAGAAAAGAAAGCTCTTATCTATGGTCTCTCCTGTCTTTCCTCTTTGAGAATCAGAAAAGGACTTTAGTAGGAAAATATAATGAACTTAAATAAGAGCTTTGGCCATTAGTGGCTGCTGCTTCTTAAAATCTTCTTGTACTTATGCTCTTTATAATTAGTTTTCCTCTTCTTATTCCAGGGTCAGGGAAAGGATAAAGATTTGAATTCTAAGTCAGCCAGTGACCTCTCAGAAGATTTGTTCAAAGTGCACGATTTTGATGTGAAGATTGATTTACAGGTTCCCAGCTCAGGTATGTGAGGGTGGGGAAGTACTGATGACATGACTATATGGATCCACAGCTCTCTTGGCCTGTGAGGAGACCTTACTCTAATGAAAAAATGGAGAGGCAGACATTTTGTGGTACATACCTATAGTTCCAGCAGCTCTGGAGGCTGAGTCAGAAGGATCATGAATTCAAAGCCAGCCTCAGCAACTTAAGGAGACCCTCTCTCTAATAAAAGACCAAAAAGGGGACTAGGGATGTGGTTTAGTTGTTAAGTGCCCCTGGATTCAATTCCCAGTACCAAAAAAAAGTAAACTGAAGAAATGGGGATAGTATCTGTAGAGGCCAGGTCAGACTGGCTGCAGTTACATTTGACTACAGTCTGCAGTCAGTAAGGCTATCTGAAGGAATGAAGCACAAGACTAAAAGATTTTGTAGGTACTTCACATGCCAATTTGTTCTTTCCCACAGAGTCAAAGGCTTTGGCCATCACCTCCAAGGCTCCTCCAGCCAAGGATGGGGCTCCAAGGAGATCTCTGAACTTGGAGGACTACAAAAAACGACGGGGGCTTATTTGAGAGTATCCAGCCTGCTGCTTCTGACCCTGCATGCCCATCAGTGTCCTGCCTTTCCTCTTTTCCTTTGATTTGCCCTCTTTGGGCTGGAGCAGCAGTAGAACTGGGAAGAGACTCTAAACTGCCAGTCATCTGTAATATAAACCATTTGCTGTATAGACCTCCCTTGTCTGCACCATCTCCCACCAAACCCCTGGGCCCCACCCATTATGGATCTGGGCTCAGTTGGGCTTTTTCCATGTCTTTAGATTTGTGTTTGCCTTTTTTTTTTTTTTCTTTTCTTTTTTTAACCAGCACAGTTCATTGGCCACTGTACACACATTCAGTATTACCATGGAGCTGGGATTCCTGCTGGAGCCCCTGGTGGCAATAGCAGCAGCACTGGGCAGTCTTCTCTCCAAAACTGCCTTGGACCCAACCATTGAACATTTGGCACCTGACCTTTGTGGAGGGAGCAGGGATTGGGCACCTGCAGTCCTCTTTACTCTCTCATCTTTCTCTTCTTCTCGTCTCTGCGGAAGAAGGGTTTTCAAAAACAATTTAGTTTCCAAAAAGTGTACATTTGTGGGGAGGGAGGGGGGTCTAATTTGAGAGAGAGAGAGAGAGAGTGTGTGTGTGTATGTGTGTGTGTGTATGTGTGTATGTGTATGTAAGTGTGGGTTTTTTTATCATTTTTTAAAAATGCAGTACTCTTTGTATCAGTCTGTCATTGGTCTATAGCTGTTTCAGATTTTTTTCAGCTGTACTTGAGCATCTGAAACTGCAAGAAAGAAACTCATTAAATGTGATTCTTCTTATTAAACAGACCTGACTGCTGTAGCTGTGTAACTTTCCCTACCCTCTCTTCCTCTATCATCTCCCCGTCTTCAAGAAAACTCCCTAGTTTAGCTCCTTGCCTTATAGGCTGTGTCCTGCAGGCAGGAGAGAAGCTGAGGCAGGTACCAGGAGGGCAAAAAGTGTCTTGCTCATCCCATGGCACAACCTACAGCTTCTTGGCTGAACATAGAATGTGTCTTGTTCCCACCCAGTGTACCTGTGTCTTCCTAGTGATTCTGTTTTGATGTTTTGGCAAGAATAACACTTGTTTTGTTTTTTAAAAGAAATTATTCAACATGAATGTGGAGAGCAAACAATAAGATTTAGATTGAAAATGTTACCAGCATGTGCAGTTGTGTGTATGTATACATATATATATGGTAAGCATATATATTGTTGTGCAGCTAGGGTGAAGCCAGCAAAGAGGTGTGTATGTCGTTATGAAATGTTTGAAAAGAGATAAGCTGACTGCTTGATAATCATTCTCAGGTGTAAAGCTCCAAGTGTAAATAAAAGTGGCATTTAACAAATCTTTTCAGAACAAAGTACAGCTGACTATATATACCAAGAACTAAGCTAAAGAAACAGCTGAGAGCTGCTGATTTCCACAAAAGGGAAAGGAATCTAGAAGCTCTACTCTGTACTTCTTCACTCAATTTTTATATACGGAAGGGGATGATGGGAAATCACAGAGTTGTTTTGAAACAAGAATGAACTTGGTAACTCTTCTGGGTTTGGTAGAGCCTCAGTGTTGCTTTAACTTAGTTTACATATTTTTTAAAAAATCGGCAATGGGTGGTTTTAAAGTATTGTGACTGTGTAAAATTGGTAAATGACTGTAACACAGCAATATGGTAGCTGTGACAGTTCATTTGGGCAAAGGAGTGGTGATGGACTCATTAAAATCATATATACTTGAATAGTCCATTGACCGAAACTCTTTATAGACTGTTGTGTAAATGTGGAATCACAGACTGTTAAACATTGCCTGGACTCTAGCAGAGTCCTGGAGCTGCTGGGACCTCTCCTATCATGTCAAACTTGGACTTTTTCTTTCTGGTTTTAAAAGACATAAAATCATAGAATCCATAGAATTTGCTGGAGTCATTCTGATCCACCATGTAGATCTGTATTTAGTATTATTTGGATTTGGAGAAGTGTCGATTTACATTATGGCTGTGTAATAAAATTTTTATTAAAACTGCATCACACTGTAGCACTTTGCCACTACCTCCCCACCTGCAGCTGCTGAAACCTTCATTTGGAGATGCCAAAGCACAGAGCAGGGAGAAAAGCCATCCAAACCAAAGAAGACTGAAAGTTAACCTACCATCTGAGTAGCCTTCCTGATAATTGGGATCAAGACTGAGGACTTGGCTGCAGTCCCAGCTGAGGGAGAGCCTCTGAGTCACAATCTTGGCCAGGCCTAAGACACGGGCTTTGTCCCACCGGCTGGGCTTCTTTGTGGGTCACAGTATTTCTTATGCTAGGGAACTGCCTCAGTGGCCCCCTCCACCACTCCCATCCCCAACATGGTTTTGATGTTGAAGAGTGTAGCACCTAAGTCTGTTTTATACATTTTTCAGTTCCTTCCAGGAAGTGAGAAGGTCAATGTCCGTCCATACGCCTAGCTCATGCATATAGGTCTGTCTTGTTTTTGACAGGTGCAGGGAAAGTATTGCCTGCAACTTCCCTTCAAAAAGATTGCCTTTGTTTTGTTTCTGAGAAGTCCTGACTTGTCATCAATTGTACAGATATTTGTAAATAAACTTGATGCCATTTTAACAAGGGGATCAGACTTAGTCCAAGGCTTGCATCCTAAGTGGCACCTCAAAGTTCTTAAGAAAGCCTCTCCTGCTCTTTTTCTTCCCCTTCTCAGCACTGCATCCCCAAAAGTGAAAGTGGCTGTTGACAACTTAAGCAGCTTGGTTCTCCAGAAGGCCAAGTTGCCTAGACCCAGCGGGGCCTGTAGTTTCCCTGGCTTACTTCTAATCTTGGTAAACAACAACAAACAGCAGTGTTAACTGGGACAGGCACACCTAATAGGATGCCTAACCCTAGTGAGAATTGGCCCTAACAGATTTCATTTGGCTTAGGCGGTTCCTGTGCTGTTTTCTGCCTTTGGTATGTGTGAAGCAGGGTTTCAGGGGCTGTGAGTGTGTTCATGAAGGAAACAGTTGATATCCTCTGGCCTGACCCAAGGAAGGAGATTTGTAAGGGGTTCCCACTACCTGAAATTGTGTCTGAAACCCCTATTGGGCCATATTTAACTAGAAAGCAAGAAGATCCCAGACCTTTAACTCCCTATGGTAGAAACCAGATCCAAGGCTGCCTCTGATGTTGAAGAAATAGTCCCCAGGATTTAGCCATTAAGTGCATTCAAACTTCTTGTCCTCTACATGCTCTTCTTAGGGTTCTGGGTTCTATGTGGCAGCCACTTGCTATAACTGAAAAACAAAAATAAGCACCTCCAGGGCTGGGGATATAGCTCAGTTGGTAAAGTGCTTGCCTTGCATGCATACGGCCCTGGGTTCAATCCCCAGCACCACAAAAATAAATAAATAAAAAATAAGCACCTCCAGTGCAGGTGGAGGAAGGGAAGAGGAGTGGTAGGGCGATCAACATCTCCCAGCTTCTTCCAGGAGAGAGACCATTCCTCAGGTAAACATGGGTTGACTGTGGACTAGCAGCTCTAAGGAGCCAGGAAGCCACTGGCTTCAGCTTAGATTTGTTTGTTGCATTATTCCCTGGACCACTTGGGGGTCCTTTGGTCTGTGTTTGGGGGCTGGAAGGAATAACTGTACACAGGACCCACCACAGCCTGCCTTTTTTTTTTTTTTTAAGCAATTGGTATTGAATCCAAGGACACTCTACCACTGAGCTACATCCTTAGCCCTTTTTATTTTTTATTTGGGACAATTTCTCTCTAAACTGCCTAGGCTGACTTCCAGCTTTCAATCCTTTTGCCTTAGCCTCCTAAGTTATTGAAATTTCAGATGTGCACCACCATACCCAGAAGAGTCTGCCTTTTCTGTAAGGTTGCCCAGGCCAGTCCCAGTGCATGGTGAGGGGAACCTCCGAATGCAATTTATTGGCCCCCAGTAGGGCATAGCTACTAAAGCATAGGCACATGAGAGCGTCCAGTCTATGCTCCAGCCCTGTGAGCACCAAGAGCCATAAGGCACCCCAAATTGATGCAGGGTTCATAGGACTGAGCTAGTTAATTGCTCTGAGACACAAGTTCTTTGTCTAAAAAACAACCTGCCAAGCCAGACACGATGGCACATAAATAAAAGTGGCATTTAACAATCTGGGAGGCTGAGGCAGAAGAATTGCAAATTCAAGGCCAGCCTCAGCAATTTAGTAAAGCTCTATGCAACTTAGAACCTATCTCAAAAAAAAAAAGGGCTGTGGATGTTAACTCAGTGTAAAGGGCTCCTGGATTGTCCCCAGGACCAAAAGAAAAAAAAAACTCTGATTGATATTAAATATTATGTGTTCCTATCCCCAGTAATTCAAGAAGCAGAAGATGCTGGGTCCTGGAGGAGAGAAGGTCAGGGGAGAGTTAACTCTGGCAGTGCTCCCAAGAGTGGGGATGGTGACTAGGGGTGCCAGTTGGTCTCAAAGGGTGGGCAGAAATTGCAGAAGAACATCCTTGGCATGGGACAGATTGCAAGAGCCTTCCAGAGGTTCTCACCATGGGAACCAAGAAACTCCACCTCCAGGTTGGAGTCCCAATTATTAGACACTGAATCTGGCCTGGGGAACCTACCAGAGTAGTCTACTGCTCCTCCCGCCATTATTGAAGGTATTCCTTCCAGCCCTGCAACACACACTCTAAAAGAGGACTCACATCCCCACCACTACCAAAAGTAATTAAACCCAAACCAGAAAAGTATGAGTCCAATAAAGTTCTGATCCTTCCCTTGATACCTTCTTCAAAATATCAGATTCTCTCCCCAACCCTTATGTAGCAGTGGATGGCCCTGTTTTGCTAAGGGCATGCGGACATCGAATAGTGCTCGTCCACATTCATTCACCAAGCCTGGAATGTGCGGGTTTATCTGCGTTGATTTTTTGGGGGGGGGCGGGGGGCAGAGTATTGGAGATTTAACCCAGAGGCGTTTTACCACTGAGGTACATCCCCAGCCTTTTTATTTTTTTTATTTTGAGACGGGGTCTCACTAAGTTGCACAGAGCCTCGCTAAATTGCTGAGGCTGGCCTGGAACTCGCAATTCTGCCTCAGCTTCCTGAGTGGCTAGGATTACAGGAGGGAGCCACCGCGCCCCACTCCATCCATTTTACCTAGCAATTCTTCCTCCTACTCTAGCACCCAGCCGACAGAGGCCTCCTCCTCTGGTAAGCCTTCTTTGAATGCCCCCACCCACTCAGGTCTCGGTGCACCTCCGGGTGGCTTCCCCTCGCGCAGAACTTACTACGCTGTACAGTTATTTGTGACTTTTCAGCCCCAGCCTGAGAACCACTTGTCTCAGCGACACCTCTCTTCCCATCCCAGGCACCAAGCGGGAAGCGGCTGGAGGGAAGGAGTGGGAGGCACCAAGTAGACATTCTGCCAGGGCCACTACATTCTGGAGGATTTGACTCTGCTCCATTCTTCCTATGCGGTCTCCAGACCCCTTGCACCTCGCACAACCCACGCACCGAGGGATGAGACCTGGCGGGGTGAATGCCACCAGCAGCAGAAGCCTAGCTTCCTTTCCTTGGATTTGAGAAAAGGCAACGACAGAGGCGCCCATTCATCCCTGTTGGGTGTGTGGAGTCCCCGACGGCCTCCTACGGACCCCAGGCCTAGACTTTTCTTCGTCCCCCTCCCGGCCCGGCAGCCTAGGAACCCGGGTGGAAGCGCACCGCCCGGAGTGCTGCAACTCGGCAGGAGCCGTTGTGTGGACGGCTCGTGCGCGCACTCGTGCCCTCAGCCGCGGACCTAGGCTAAGCGCATCCCGGCCCTTTCTCAAAGTTGAGAGCCGGGCATCCGCTCTCCCGCGCGCTTGTGGTGAGTGGCTCCAGCTACCCTGGAGGCCAACTCCGTGACACAGTGGACACGAACCTCCAAGACCCGGTGCCCGAGGGCAGCTTCCCGGTTTCTTCTGGTTCTGCCCTTCCTATGATACTCTGTGGACTCGGTCACCAGGCACCCTGTATGGATGTCATGCCCGCAGGTACAGAGATCTCCAATGGAATTGAGAGCTGTGCCCTCCACCCCCACCACTAGGAGAAGCGCGGAAGTTCTCTGGTGAGGGCGTGAGGGAAGGAGACCACTGCACCCCCAGGTTTTCTTACATCACTAGCTTCACACAGAGTACCTGACCTCAGACCCTCACAGTCCCTTCTGCCTCCACATCACCACTGGGAAATTCTGAGGTTTAACTCCTGGAGAAACAAAGAGGAGACCCACAGGAACACGGGCTCTTGGAGAGATGGAAAACCTTGTTTCAAAAATACATCAGGAGAGCCCTGCACCTGTAATCTCAGCGGCTTGGGAAGCTGAGGCAGGAGGATCGCGAGTTCAAAGCCAGCCTCAGTAAAAGCGAAATGAAAAGCAACTCAGTAAGACCCAGTCTGTCAATAAAATACAAAATAGGACTGAGGATGGGTTCAGTGGTCTAGTGTCCCCTGAGTTCAATCCCCGGTCCCGAAAGAAAGAATAAAGAGAAAAAAAGGCCTCAGGAGAGACTGTGGGGTTTGTTTAGGTACTAGGGTTTGAACCCAGAGGCATTTTACCACTGAGCAACATCCCCAGCCCTTTTTTTTTTTTTTTGAGACAGTATCTCATTAAAATGCATTAGGCCTCCTTAAACTGCTGAGGCTGGCCTCAAACTTTGATCCTCCTGCCTCATCCTCTGGAGTAGTTGGTATTAGGCATGCACCACCGTGCCCACCTGAGAAACTATGTTCTTATTGTGTATACACAGGAACAGCCACATAATTTGTTCATTTTAGACAAGAATGACAGATTGTAGAGGGTCAGATAATACTACTAGATCCAGAACCCTGCTAAACTGCCCTTGCTTCCACCCCAGAGTATGCCCACCAAGTTTAGTCTATCAATTATAGAATAAAAGATTGCACTAGAGGAGAGCATGGGGACCCATGCTTATAATCCCAGAGATTTGGGATGCTGAGGCAGGAGGATCCCAAGTTCATTGCTAGCCTCAGCAACTAAGGGAGGTCCTAAGCAACTTAG